ATGTTAGCTATTTTTGCTAGGTCACCAACATTAATGTCAATCCCAGATGTTTGAATTCTCTGGAAAGAGAATTTTCAAAGAATAATTACAAATATGACTAATAAATTATGCATTAGTAAAACCCTATTTTTATACATTCACACACCCCAAAAAAATTTTACTTGGGGAATCTATCCTTTAAAACAGATACAGCTAATACATTTGCTTATAAGTATTAGTATACAAACTTACCTGACACAGTTCAGCTGCATTTACGCCTGGGATCTTATGGTTCAGATGTTGAATTATTTGTTCACACTGAAAAGAAATTAAGTTTGAAAACATTCTTACTGCATATTTTAATTATACAAGACAAAGCTCGTTTGAATATTTGGAGATCACAAAACAAAGAAGAAAACAGGTTAATGCAAAAATAGGTAACAGGAGGATGCTTTAAAGGCAGAGTGAAGAATAAAGTTGTTTAAATTACATCAAATCCAAGAAAAGCAAATAAACTCAGCCAAGTATTTTAACTACTACCTCACTAGATACTCCTACTAAACACACCATTTTCATACTCTTTGAACAGTCAAGTGTACACAACAGTAAACAAGCTGGCTCAGTATCTCATTTAAATAAAATTAAAAAAAATACATTTTAACATTATTATATGAGAAAAACATACACTTAAAGCAATCCCCACTGCTTTTAGGGGGACTGGTCCATTTTATGAGTCATGTAAATCTCAGACACCACATAACTAAGATCCCCTTTGCAACTGAGAAAAAACAGAAAAGCTTGAACAAAAAGATCTCCTAGAATCAAAGAGAGTCAGATGTCCTTCCACATCCCAGTTACTGTCCAACTTACCAATTCTGCAAAGAAGTCTTGTGGTATTAAACTAATCTTATCTGCTGCACCACCAACATCTGAAAAAAAACACAAGCTGTAGTAATCAGAAGCAGATCCTTGAAATGTCACAGCAGTAAATCTAATCTCCCTCTGAAGAACCCCTGGGTCGTCACGCATGATTGAAAAAAAAAAAAAAAAGCAAGGATTTAAAAGCAAGGATTTATTTAAGGGAGTTTGTCTTGAATGGCATTAACGTAACCTGATCAAGTAAAGTCTCACAGAAGCGACTCCACCAGGCCCCAGAGCCCCAAGTCTGTGCAACGACAGCCTGACAGCCCTGAGGGACAGCCCTGCGGAGCAGCCCCCGCACCGGGTCCCTCACAGCTTCCCGGGACAGCGGGCACGGCCCCCCGGCACCAGCAGCACGGGGCCGCAGCTCCCAGCCAGCCCGCGGGCGGGCGGAGGGGCTCCCGCTGGCGCCCAAAGCTTCGCCTGGAGCCCCCGGGAGCGGCTCCGCCGGGCCCTGTGCGGGGCTGCTCCGCCGGGCCGCCTCCCGCTAAACCCCCAGGCGGCGAGAGCGGCCCCGGCCGCCCTCCCCTCCGCCCCCTCCG